ATTAGGACTGCTTTAGAAACAAAGTCCAAGTCTTCAGGTAGAGCAAATATACCTTTCCCTCATGAATGAAGAGCCTTAGCCCAAAAGCCTTTTTTCTATAACCTTGGGGTGGGGGGGAGGAAATAGATAAAATGTATTTGCATAACATCTTAAGATGCATGTAATATCTTCAACTTGATGTCTGTGATGCAGCATAACACAGGAATGGTACTTCACAGAAATAAAAGAGCCCAAATCAGAGTTAAATTCAGCTTTAGTGGTACAACTTTAGTTTAGCTTTTAATGTTTCTAACATGACGGTGTTCTGAAATCTTAGGTGATATTTCACATACAGTTTAAAGCAGAGAGCCATTTAGTATTTTTCTTTTTTTAAATAGCCCAAAGCTTGCCAAAACAAGGCAATATTTTCCATGGAAAATATTATGGATGGATATTCCATGGAAAATATTATACAGGAATGAGGAATGATAGGGCATCAGCTTAATAGCAGAGAGAGAGAGAGAGTGTGTGTGTGTGTGTGATCTCACTTAGCATCAGGACTTTTATAGTTGTTAAAGTTATTAACCGTTAGGGTATAAGAAAGATGGTCTTCAGAGTAGTGCAACTTTGCTGAGAGGAGGCTTTGTTTGGGAAAGCAGAAGTAGTTATAGATTTGTCAAGATTGAAAAAGATTTAGTCTTTGGCATGGGTTCATCTGTGTCAAGATGTGTTCCCGTACAGTTGATCTGTCAGGTCCGTGTCTCTCCCGGGACTGCAGGGTCCCATTTCTGTGGGACAACGTGGGGCACATGCCTGCAGGTGGAAGACTCCCCTTTAGGGTCTGCAGCCAGGGGAACCCCACAGGCCAGACAATGTAGCCCTGGATGCTAGATTGCACTAGGGTGCAGCGGGGTTGGGCCATACACAGCCAGAAGGTTGAGCATCACTGTAGTAGATGATCTTTACCAAACCTCATAGTTCTCTGAGCTGTTAAAACTTTTGTAGTTTGCTCTATAACATCTGGGCAAGACGAGGCAATTTTTTTCATACTTCTTACAATTCTGAAGATGAATCAAGCAAATTAAAAAATTAGGCTGAAAAACAGAAGAGAAAAGGCTCCTGCACAGGAGTGTAGATGCAGCTGAGGGATGACATAAAAGTGGTGTTAGTGCTTGGTTGGGATAGCTAGATTAATTTCCAGTGGCGCACTCACAGGTGAATTAGGCAGGCCATCCATCAGGACAGTGACTTTTAGTGTTTGTATAAAAGAAATTGATATGTGCTAAGGTATTGTAGGAAGACTTTAGAATTAAAATCATGGAACTGTTCTGTGTCCCTCCACACGAAAAAGTGATGATGACTGAGTCTATGCAGGCCTTAGAGAGAATAAAGTATGTTTTAAAAATCCTTCAAAATGGGGTTCAGAAAACAGTCTAACCCAGGAGTTTACAACTTACAATGGACTGGATCCAGACCATAAATGTCCAATCTAGCACAGCAAATTGGATTGCACAGACCTGCATCTATAGTGCTCTCCTCTGCTGCAGAGCCTGTTGCTCTGCCATCTCTGCACTTACTCTCACTGAAGATCTGGCGGGGGGTGGGGAGGGGAGGGGGCAGCGAGGGGGATGAGTGGCAAGGGTAAGTGCAGGCAGCTGGGCTGGAGACTTGCAACCCTCAATAGGAGCTAGGTCATAAAGGGTAGCCCAGGGTAGCATACCGTTGCTGACCCCTGCTCTAAGAAGTCACTTTGCTTGAGAGCAGATTTGAGGAAATGCTGTGTGGTGAGCTATTTTGCTTTTTAAATCAAGTTTGAAAGCTATTGCGTGTTTGCAATGGTGGTGGTAGTCTTGGCTAGCTGGATTGGTTAGCGTACTTTAAGCTAAGGTGCCTAAGGAGTGCAGTTCCTCAGTTTTCCACAGTTCCATATGGATGTCCCCCATATGTGGTACTTGCATTACCAAATGCATAACTTTGAATTATAACGCATGCTTGTGGTTATGAAACATGCCTGTTTCTGATCTTTGTTTTCCCAAATCATTTACAGAGTCCAAACTTGCGCTTTGCTTCAGTGGAGTACTATACCCGTTCAGATTTGATTTTTCTTAAGGTGAAGTGATTGGGTGGTCAGTGCTTAATTGGAAGCAATTCTTCCCATACAACACAGATATTTTATAACAGCTGTCATCAGGTTTTCATTTTGCATGCTTTTTCAGTACTTGTTAACTTGAAATATTCATGAATATAGACTAACTGTGCCTTAGGAAGAAACTGGATTTTATATCAAATTAAAAACTAAATGTGCACCCACCTTGTATATATTCAGGATTCTTTTAACCAGCCCAATAGCCTACACACTGCACAAGAGCCCACATTGCTCTTCTTGGAAAAATGAAATGCTGCATGTGTATGTATCATATAAATTCTCCAGTTAGTTTCTGCTTTACTAAGGGTGGTCACCATTTTTATATAATTCCAAGTTTCCTTTTAGACTTAGGTGAAAGAGAAGATTAATAATTAAAATAATATATTAAGAATGAAGTAATACAAGTTGATTTAATTAACTTTTAAAATGGAATTCCTAATCTGTAAATATCTGAATTTTGTGTGGCTAGGGGAAGGGGGTAGATAAACGATATCAGATTTATTTTGTAAATCTTATGAATCAGTAAGACCTTCAAAATAAATCTGAGACCCTTTCAAAACAAAACAAAACCAAATAGTCAGATTTTCTCAAGTGTTACCTACTCCTGCTGAAGTCATTGAGTACAGTAGATGTTCAGCATGTTTGTTAAATTTTATTAGCGTATCTGTGTACTGAAGTGTTTTGGGGTTTTTGAGGGACAGGAAGGGGGAGATGTCACAGGAAGGAACCAGTCTAGAAAATTTGTTTTTCAGTGCCTCAAAACTTTATTGCAAACTTTTTGAAAAGACCCATTTCAAAGGATAGAGTTTGTAAGCAATTTGACAGGGGAACTGCACTGGATTTTTTTTATTAAATTTGGAATTATTTATAGTGAACAGGAATTTCATAATCTGCAAGAGCTCTAACTTCGGGTGTGATGTAGCAAGAACACCACATCCAACTAGTTTTTTTTTCTGTTTGTATTATAAGCTTACTTGATATTTTTTAATTCAGCCCTCAAATAATCATTCTCTTGCAAACAGAAGTTTGACAATAAAAGGCTTGTACAGATATAGGAGACTGTGTCACTGTTTGAACTTACCCATTTGGTATAATCAGAGTAACTTTGTCCTGGAGTAATTCTGAGTATTGTAGTATTTTGGGGTTGTCTGAAGTGGGTATTCTTAGAATCATGGATGCTTCTGAAAATTACCATTTGGAAATGATGATATAGGCCACTCAATATGCCTTGTGTTTATTGAATAATAGAAAAAAACTTCCTTAGAGTGAGTTTCCTGTATTACAGTACAGAGAATAAGGTAGTGATGGAACCCCTGTTGTTTGAATCAACTGCTCTGGAAAACTTATTCCAAGATGCATGGTTTAGCCAAGGGCTAAATAATAAGGAAATATAAGGTCAAGGGCTAAACCAGATATTTTGGAATATATTTTCCAGAGCAGTTGTCATCTAGTGAATTTGGAGTGTTATATGCACAGAGGAGACATGCTGTGCTTCACTGCCCTGCTTCCTCATGAAGTCCTTTGGTGTTGCCATTCCCCAAGGGTTTGTGGGTTTGTTTTATCACCACCTGTAGTTGCAGCTGTTGTCAGTTCATTCTGCAAGTACCTCTGAAATCAGATTTTGGGTATTTGAAGATAGATACCAAAAAATAAGGATGTTTCTTGGTATGTTGGCCTTCCCTTTCCTTATCATTAACACTAACACATCCCTAGCCTTGAAGTGGTTAAGATTTGAGCATTTGGCTTCAGCAATAATTTTTATACTGGTTGTAGCACCAGAAGATTATTGCAATGATAGATAGAAGCAAATAATACACAATGCCTGTTGAAATACCAACTAATAAGAAAATCTAAAAAGTCTTTTAGACTTTTCATTGTACCCTGTCATATGAGAGAAGATATGAAATACTTGTCTGATGTTTAGAAAATAATTCAGTGACTGTATCTACGCATTCATTAACATGCTTTTGCTAGGGTGCATTAAATTTAGTATCTCCGTTGTGAGGTACTAGAAAAGATGCATTAGTCTATTTTAATGTGCCTTAGCAAAAGTGCATAATTTTTTAGTGATGTTTCAATGCTCATTAAAATAGTCTAATGTGCATGAAAGCTCATGTATAGATGCCCCCGGTGGCTAGTTTACTTTTGCTCGGTTGATAATTTCCTTAAATATCAAAAGCATACATGTCAGCTATTTATAGGGTCTGTGTGAAGCAAGGCACATCTGACGGCTCAATTTATTTCCATATTTTCTGCAGAGATTGAATACTAATGATGCGTCTCAAAGACAGAAAACTGTGGTCCATAATGGAATTTACATAATTTATTTTCTATAGAGGGGTTAGAACTGTAAAAGAGGATAAGGATTGGATGTTACATAAGCTCTCCGCTTCATTCAGATTGGAAAAAGTCCCTTGTTGTCATTTGGTTTGTTTTAATAAAGTTCCTCAGAAGTGACAGTAATCCACTAAGAAATACTTCACAGGTGTTCACACTAGTGCACAGAAAGACAGCTTAGCAAATCTCTGTTTCAGGCATGCCTTTGGATTGTTGAAGCCAGCACTTACTGAAAACTGCTAGTGACTTTCAGGAATATAAGCTGCCTCTATCCTTCTGTTTTATTTTTACAAATCTATTTTGTACCAAGCACCACTCCATCCTATCAGTTTAGAAGTTTATTTCCTTCCAGTTAAGAAGAACTTTTGCTGCTTAACCCTCCCTGCTGAACATGTATTATGGTTGCCCTTTACAGTCAGTAAACTGAATTAAAAATGTAAGGCATTGTTGTCCTTCTCACCCTTTCCCAATCTGCCATATGATTACACTATCCCCATTAGAATTATTTGTTTGTAAAGATCAGTGTTTTGTCTTTCAGGTTTTGCTGTGGCCCAGTGTATAAACCAGCATAATCCATCTCCACTTTCATCACCATCTCCTTCCAGTGGCAGTGGGAGTACTGGACGGTGTGATTCAATTACAGCCAGCTCAACTTCCACTCCCTCTGCAGCACAGAGTCCATCAGGTATTAAACCACTATTTTCAGCCCAGGCACCCAGGGGTAGGCAGTAGTTTATTTTCTGAACTCTTACTGGATTAACTAAACAAAAAAGAAAGTGTTTCAAGTTGTTACCTTGGTCTTTTACAATAGTGTCTACAAATGAGGTAAATTAGGATGTAGGTTTTGAAAGTCTTTTCAGTTTTGTGGACTGCTACATTCAGTGGATGTATTTTGTAGGCAATGATTCTGAACACTAGTTGAATGATGTCCCCACCATTCTCTATTTCTTACTGGTATGTCTGTATGTTCTGTTCATTTTAAATGGGAATTGTTGTGCATGCACTTACAAAGCATCAGTGACATGGAGCCCCAGTGAACTTTAAACACAGCTGAATGTTTATGCCAAAACATTTGATTACTGTAAAGTCCCTCACTTATATAAAAGCAAGTAACACTTAAATGTTTATATCTTCTATGTTGTATTGTAACTATAGGGCAAGTAAGATTCATTTTAGCACTGCCATTGAATCTAGGTTATTGCATTTTAAAATGTGGACCGTAATTGAGGATTGTTTTACTTAGATATTTGAGGAGGTTCAGTTATTTAAGTCTTTGGTTGGTGGAGAGGAAGTTCAAAATTGTATGTTAATTGACCATTATAACTTGCTTTCAAACTTCACAGTGCAAACCAGAGTGCATTGCTGTTCAGTGAGATTTGTTGCATTCTAGCTGGAACTCTTCCATTATTCCACTTATTGTCCAGTATTTGTAGAGCATTCCACAGTGCCTTGAATTCTGAACATACGTTGTGTTGTGATCACTGACACATGCGAGTCAAAGAGCTGCTGAGACTGCAGCTGGGTAAAGTAAAAAGATCATCCTGAAATAATTTGCATTGAACTGCTTCTGTTTTGTCCCTGCTGCTATCCCAGCCCCATTAGTTTTGAAAACTGGGGTGACTGTTACTTATTCTGACAATAGCCTTAATGCTTGAAACACTTGATGGTCCACTGCTGCTTTGTTTGCCATCTATGGCTATTTCATTTCTTGATATTAGGTCTTAGGTATTTCATTATCAGCTTTCTTATAGATATTCAAATGGATTTACTATATGTACTTGAATCTAAGATGATCTTTTTCCCCAGAAATCAACATGGGGGTGTGGAAAGCTCCTTGTCTTAGATTTATGTACAGAGTGGGGAGGTGGAGGAAGCAGGTTACTGCTGTGGCTCTGACTCTGGCCCTCAGCCTGGGTCCAAGGCCAGAGTCAGACCCATGGCACCTGCCTGTCCCATGCTCAACTTGCCTTCTGCAGCTTATTACCCCCACCCTTACTGTCAGGCGCAGCTTGGTTCCAGCTCAGGCTGGGTTCCCTCCTAGGCAGGAGCACATGGCAACTCCATCCCCTGCCCAGCCAGTTAGCAATACCAGCCAACCTGCTGTGCCCCCTACCTAGGCAGTCAGCAGTGCCAACATTGCTGCAAGGGCTGCACTTCCTTGTGCTGTGCTTCAGGGAGGCAGAGCAACATGTGACAATAAGGTGGTAAGAGGAGAGAGGCAGAGACTGGGAGTGGGGCAGGGGCTGGAGGGAGGTTGGGGGTGAAGGGGCAGGTGGCAGGGGGGGCAGGAAGGCTACAGAGAGAAGTAGTGGGGGGGCAGAGAGCAAGGGAGCCACCTGACACCCCCTCCCCCCTGCCATCTACCTGGCCACTGCTTTCCCTACTATAGCAGTGAGAAGACAAATTCGAGGCACCCCTCCGTTACTTAGATTCTATACCTGGAAAATAATAACAAATTGATAAATATTCCATAAATAAAATCTAATTATTGGGAGGTCATGTTAAATTTAGGGTCATCTTAGATTCAAGGAAATATGGTGTTTACATTTTTTTGGAGGAATAATTGGTTTTAAAAATGGGACCTGGGATCCCTTGATTCTTGCTTTTTAACTTCTACATCAATTTAATAAACACACACAAAATACACTAGCAGCCTTATTTCAGCAATTCAGAAAGTATACAAACAAGAGGGATAGAATCAGTTAAGATGCACTAAACACTATGCACATATGGCCAATAAGATTTTCATTAATATAACTGAAGAGTGCCTGTACATTTATTAAACATGTCCGCATGGCTGCTTAATCATTGGGTACAGACCCTACAAATTTACCCTTAAGCCATGTTTAGTTTTTCAGTGTCTGATTTCCTGAATTACAGCCTGAGAAAATATTCTACTGACCCTTTGTAAAGTAAGTCGGTAAGCACAAAACAATTCTGGCTCTGAGATACCTAGTTTTGAATGGAAATTTATTACCATTTCCATTTACTAAAAGCCCTACAGCACTCTTGGAAAAAAATGTGTTTTCTGTACAAAATAATCATTTTTTCAATCAAAATAAAAAAAGATTAGCACAAATAAAAGAAATCCTTTGAAAAATGTTATTGTCCTCTCAATAATTACTGATTGAACTCTGCTATCAAGAGGGAAAGTGGGTTCCAAAACAAAATGTCCTGCCATCAGCCTTAATCCATGTAATCTTCAGCCTTTTCTGCCCATGGTTTCTGAAGTGTCTTGCACAAGTCACATAGTCTATAAGGCAGCCAGAAGCAAACCATTTGAAGCTAAATTTAAACTGCCACCTGTACTTTATCCAGAGACAGCCTGGGGGTCAGTTCATACTATGTAGCTCAGGCAAAACTTTTTGCAAAAAGGACTATTTACTTAAGATGAAGACTTGCATCATCTGTGTAGAGAATTCACAGGTTGTGTTGGCAAGTGATCACTGGCATCAGCTTTCTTAAGAGAGAGATAACAGTATCATGCAGATACTGAGGGAGTGAGATGACTAAGATTCTTCAAGACCCTAATCTAGACTCATACAAGGTTTATGTATCTAGGAAATATATGTACGTACAGTACTTGAAGTGTGAATGTGACCAAGACCTGGCATACTTCAGTATCAAATCTGATTCTTCATAATGGTGGAAAAGCCTTAATTGTTCTAATTTTTGTCCCCATTTAAAATCTGGGCTTTGTTACACTGGGTGCTCTGCAGACTTGAAGGGAATGAACTAGAAGATTGAAAAAGCTGCAAGTCTACCACTATAAAAAAAAACCCTCAAAATTCATCTCTAGAAAAAATGGTGTGGTCTTCGCTTGCATAGTACTTCCTTACTCTCTTTTATTAATTACTGAATGTTTCTGACTAGATGTGGTCAACCCATTCCCAGCTGAATTATCTAAATTTTTGCCTTGAATCACATTACATTCTTATGTTACATACTAATCAGTTTTGCAAGTTAACTAACCATGACATCCTTGAATAGTTCAGTTTATTGAAAACAGATGTTTGTAACCCTATGAAAAGGGAAAACTCTATAATGACATCATTTGTAATCTCCCAGAATAAAATCTAGTCATTCAGTATTCTGGCATCTATGCAATATGTTTCCAGTAAGCTTGTATTGATTTTATTTTTGTAATTTAAAATGCCGGATGAGGCGCAGCTTTCCATTGTTAAGTAAAATGTTCATTTTTCAAAGTCTGCACTTCAGAATTCTGCTAGATCACTTATCCTGTTTGAATTACCCACATTAAGTATATGATCCCTGTTCTGGCATACTTTGCAGGTACAGCTTCAAAGTGCCATGTGCTGAAGGAAGGAGTTCTTCCTCCATCTGTCTCCCATAGGATCAGCATTCTACTGAATAGCTTGTAGGAATGGAGTTTTTTCCACATAATCCTTCATAGCATGCAGCTAAAGTGAAAATGGATAAATGAGTCTTTGTACGGTTGATTTAGAGAATAAAATTTTGGACAGAATAGATCAGTTTTATATTGCACAATTAGTAAGCGGTGAACTAAACAGAACTAAAGATCACATGTTCACCAGTTGAGTTGGATAACAAAGGGCATATCTACTAAACCAGGTGTTTCACCCAGCAACAGTTAAATACCAAAAAAGTCTTTACATAAAATATTATGAGTGGTGAGCCAGAGACTTTTTTTTTTTGCTTTGGAAATGACTTACTTCCTAACATTCATTTGCATTAAGAGGACTCTGCTATTTCCCTTTATGAGGGAGGTCACTACACTTTTGTTAAACCTCATGCCTACTATGTATATTCCCGTCACTGACAGAAGACTAGTTATTTAACCGGTTTCTTATAAACTAAGCTTTTCCAATGACGCTGAAAGCTATCTTTCTATTCTGTTACATAGGTCTTTAAAAGTATAGCAGTATAGAAAATTGTGGGATAATATTTAGCTCTTGCAATATATCAAATCATTCCTTTAGAAGTGAGAAAGCAGACGTTATGTACTGTACTGGAAGAAAGGAAAGTCCCTTGGAGGATAGATCTGGAAGTGTCCTCACAACACCTAACTGCACTTCTTGCAGGTTGTTTCCTTATTATACTTGTGGTGTTCCTTAAAGTAACATGCCTCCTTGAACAAATGCAGTATATAAGATGAAAATGTTGTTCTCCTGTTAGTTAGACATTCATCAATGTGCATATACAACAGTGTCTTTGACTTTCATTCTTGAAAAGTGTGGGTTTTATTTGCTTATTCATATCTGCTAAGCTAAGGGATGGGATAGGGAAGTTTTTTACTTCTGTAAATGGAGCGATGGCATATGTCATTTCATTGTCACACTGTATTTCTGCTATCTTTAAAACTATATTAAGTCAGAAAATACGGTTGGGTTTTTTCATAAGAAAAAACAAAAGGACTTGGAAATGCCAATGTAATGGATACTGAGGATTTAGGAAGGCTTTCACTTCCTTGGGCTAACTGCCTTGCACTGGTACTTGTGGCAAACGTAGTGTTGACAGTAAAAGAAGTAAAAGGAAGAGGAGAGTCCTTTGTTATTCAAAAAAAAAAAAGTAAATTGCACTCTGATTTGTAGACATCATATATTTCAAAATACTGAGCTCTGAGAGCCTACAGAACAGCAAAAGCTACCATCTTACAGAAATCATCCCTGTCCCTTCCCTTTGTGATTCAGTAACTTAACCGTG